GCTTTTGGTGGATGCAGGAAAGCCACCCTCTTTTTTAAAGTTTTTTTCTTAAACCCCCCCCTGATGGGAAGAAAAAAACAAATTCCTGGAGTTTCTACGTGACCCGGGGTATCCTGGGTAGGCAGACGACGGGGCAACCTGCAATAGTGCCTGGCTGTGCATGCACGGCCAGGCGCCCCTGGTAGTCTAGTTTTAAACTATGTTTTAAAAATATATAAAAGCACTTGTTGGATGGAATGAAAATTCTGGCCGCAAATGCTTGCATATGTTCTTCCTGCTGCTACCAGCAGGCCCATAACTTCTTTGGAGTGTGCTCCATGCCCGAGAAAATGTGCTGGTTCAACGGAAGTGGGAGTGGAGGCTTAACTGATGGGCCCCTTGAGCGTCCGCCTCCTGGGATTCCTTTGACCGCGCTACTCATAGGCATAGCTTGGGAGGATGCCCTTGTTGATTCTTCTTAAATGACTAGCACCTTTGCCGCTTCAGAAATGAGGGAAACCGCCAGTTCCCGAAGACTTCGGAGGCCAGGCACGACGACGGAGGCCATTGATAAATCTAATCGGCGGCCGTCGTCTCGTTTCGGCCTCCTGAAAGGTTGGAGGCCCACTATTTTCCGAAACGACAAAGGTACTAGTGGTTCGGCAGAGATGGGAGTGGGGGCTTAACTGCTGGGCCCCTTGAGCGTCCCCTTCCTGGGATTCCTTTTACCGCGCTACTGATAGGCATAGCTTGGGAGGATGCCCTTGTGGATTCGTCTTAAACCACCGGTTGACATGAACCGACGTAGGAGCATTTCGATTCGGGCCTGGGCCCTGTAGACTACTTTGAGAAGGCACAGATGCAGGCTCGCAAGCCTTGGGTGGTAGCTTCATCAACTTAGGATTGTGTGAACTGGTGGTTTAAACCGCCAGTACACGGCCCCAGCCTTGCTGAAAATGCAAGTCGTCACTACAAAAAAATTCGGATGCTCGTCCTACCGGACCACAATGGCTGGTGGCACCCGCCAAAAAAGAAAGAAAATGCGCCGCTGGCGGCTCGGAAAAGCTTTGGCGTGCGGTAAGGCGCCTCCAGACCCCGGTGTACTGGTGGTTTGAGGGAGGAAGACAATCACCTGCACGTTCTTTTTTAATTTATATTTGGAAGGTCTCATAATCTCATTATGTCGACGGACAAACTGAGCAAACCTGGCATGACCAGAAGAGGCAGGGGGTTATATGCCAGGTGTCAACGAAGAAGGTGGTTGTACCGGGTGATGATCAGTGGCTTAGGTCCTATTCTTCTGGCCTTTTTGTTTGTGTTGCATGCTCCTTTTTTCTCCCCTTTTTGGATTGGATTTGCAGGGGACAGCATGCAACGTGGCAGATGCGAAGGATGTGGAGAAACTCGCGTTGTTTGCAAATGAAAAGCTTGGATATGTGGATCTTTGGGTGAGTATGTTTTTTTTTTTTTTTTTGTTACTTGCTTCTGCACTTCTTTTCCTACTTCACTTTACCCAATGGAGGCCACTCCATTTCCTCTTCTCTCTCTCTCCTATCTTCCCCTTCTTCCCCCCGTTCCCCCTGTTCCCCCTGTTCCCTGTTCTCCCCCTGTTCCCCCCTGTTTCCCCTGTTCCCCCCGTTCCTCCTCCCCCCTTCTCACCATGGCTTCCCTCCTTCCTCGACCCTTTTCCATCGTGGAATGGTAAGGTAGGGATTCAGGAGTCCTGTGGTTAAGGCCCATCACTTTGGCTTGGGGTTGGAAATTGGACCTTGGGTTGTGGAACACGGGACTAGGAACCTTTTTTTTTTTTTAACTTCACATGTGGGAAAACCTACTTAACGAGGTGATAAGAGCAGCCCCGTTAAGTAGGGTCCTGCTTCGAAGGCTCCATCTATTGGTGGGGAGCTGCACCTGCTGGAAATCGGGTCCAGCGTCCCTATATACATCAATAATCTTTTTTTTGGCTGCAAACCGGGTGCAGCGTCCTTACGGGACTAGGAACCTATGAGTCAATGCTGAAAAGAGGTCCCTGAACTATTTCTTGATTTATGTGTATTATCCTTGCTCAGGGGCCATGCTAATCTTCTCTGTAACGGATTTTAAACGAGGTCCTGATTAAAGAAGATGAGCATTTCAATTGCTGCCTGTGATGCCACAACCAGCAAACTGCCAATATTCCATTTTCTGTGCTTGCTTTCTCTCACTTTCTGATTGCTCTTTTTTTTTTTTTGGGGGGGGGGACCATTTCTCGATTTATGCGTGTCATTCTTGTGCAGGGGCCATGCCAATCTTCTCTGTATCGTTTCAATATTAATGGATGTCCCGAAGGACGACTTTCTGATTGTTCTTCATTGTGTATTTTCTCCTTTCTGGATGGAGCTCTATATTCACAGCTGGAACTGTTCTCGTTGGCATCTATCTTAGTCGTACATCATCGTATCGTTTTAAACCGCCAGTACACGGCCCCAGCCTTTTGGAGATTTGCTCGTCGCCTACTTCGAAAAGTTTGCGCCTCTGGCCTACTTGGCGACAATGGCTGGCACTGCCCGCCACAAAAAGAAAAAAGTGTGCCGCTGGCGGTTTGGAAAAGCTTGAAGTGCAGTGCAGCGCCTCCAGGCGCAAGTGTACTGGTAGTTTAAGCATGAGTGAAGAGACTATAGAACCCATGCGAACAGTGCATCATGTCGAGGTTTTCGCGTCGTCGAATTGTGCACATTGTGTCTGTGAAAAATGTGAGCCTCCGAATCAAGCACGTCCTCTCTGCTCACAGTCCCTTGTGCAGCAGTCGGCGTGCCTACCAACCTTGATTCTCCTTCCTCTTGTTGCGATTTCCCCTCCCCCTCTCCATTTCCTCTCTTTGTCGTCTACGCCAACTGATGACGGTTTCTTTCCCCATTCTAAGGTGCAGGCATGTCTGAATTTGCTGCATCTAGGCATGCGTGACATCTCCCATCCATCACAGTATGCAAATGTGGGGACCACTGCGCACAAGGGATTCCAGCATTGATCATTCCAAACTCCACAGTTAATGATGACTCTTTTGTTTTGGCCTTTTGAACGACACCCTCGTTCCTTAGCAAGCTCATCTTGACCGCGGTTGGTTGCAAAACGCAAAAAATTGTATCAGTCTATGGGAGGGATTTAGTGGTGATTGCAAGTGTCTTTTTTTTTTTTTTTTTTCCTTTCTACTTTTAAAATGTTGTGTCTTAACTCCCTGACTAACCATGGATGTGACTCTGGTTAAAGAAGGGTCAAATACAAATCATCACACAAAGACCCAAAGTTAGAGAAACGAAGTCAGAGTCGGTGTGGAAAGAATTGTGCGATCACGCTCTAGCCTCAAAAGTCAATTGCGGAAGTTTATGTCGGTCCAGAAGAGGTCTTGCCCTTGAACACCCAGGCATGGTGAACCCAACCCTGAGAGAGTGAATTGGGAGGTCCGGACTCAGGAGAGAAGTCAAAGAGTCAACATTCATCTGTCCTTTGGTTGGGTGAATTCTCTTTCATAGGGTCCGCCGGCAGTTCCTACATAAGCTTGGGTATGTTTATTAGATGCGGAATCGTTTGCTATGTTTCTTTAGCCGTCTCGTTGGATCTTGTCCAATTTTTCACACATGCACATTCACTAGATCTCTTTCGTTGCCTGTGTGTGTGTGTGTGTGTGTGTGTGTGTGTGTGTGTGTGTGTGTGTGTGTGTGTGTGTGTGTGTGTGTGTGTGTGTGATTGAAGATCAATAATGCAGGAACAAATGGCTATGAGGCTAAAGCTCTTATTGATACGTCAGACGAGGTGTTAACGTAAGTGATGGATCAATTCAATTCATTACTTCACAACAATCATCTCCTGCTGGATTGACACACTTCTTGCTCTTGTGGGCCTGCTACTAACTGCTGCTGAGTTTACTTGCCTTCGGCTGTGTGGCGGATGCCGGTTTGCATGCGAGCAATCGTCCTATTCAACCTGTTGTTGTTTTGAACAAGAAGGGGGACTGCATGTGAGCAGTCATCCCCTACTGTTGATTTTGAGTGACCCTCTGCTTTGCCAGCAACATTGAGCTATTCTTGTTCTCTAGTTTAGTTTTGGCCTTTGGAGGACCGTGGCTATGGGTGTGACACTGTGACAGGGGTGTGCCTGTGGGCATGTTTTGTTTGGTATGGATGCTGTGCAGGGAAGTTGTCGCGACAAATATGCTAGGGGTCATAATCTGCTGTCGAGAGGTCAGTTTTTTCTTCATCTCGCAGTTCTGTCTTTCGGTCTATTGAATGTAGCCCACGTGTTTGGCTGGGAAAGGTGGTTGGTCAGCACACAAATGCTAAACCCTCAAATCCGTTAAGAAATGTGCTTTGTTGATGATAAGCTCTGGTGTTAGCTTATGCTCTTAAACTACCACTACATCCATGCGCCTGAAAAGTGCAGTTGCGTGGATGGAGGTTGTAGACAGTCAATTTTCTGGTTTTGGGGAGGAGGAATTCCTCAACGTTGTATAAATTGGTGCACCAGCTTGTTTGACAAGGGGCTCGGGCCATTACATGATCTACATAGGGCACGCCATAGAAGTGACCGCTGTGTCAAACTGCCTGCGGTCATATGAGATGGAAATTTGTCTTGTTGCAATGACACACATCGAATTCCCAAAGGCATAGACAATATTGTGAAGTTTTTTGTGGCAACGACTGGAAGTCATCGAAGTCGCCTCTGTGTGGGTGCGTGTGTGTGCTGTCTCTTATACACATCTAGATGTGTATAAGAGACAGGGTATTGGTTGCTTGGGAGGCCGCGCGGCCTGGAAGTCACCACCCAAAAGGTAGGTTGTCTGGTATATCTTTCAGGAGAGCGCTAGGGTCTTCCTCATTTGCGGTGTGCAAGCTTGGGCGTCATCCTGCTGGAGCGTTTGGCGGAGGAGTGCCGGTGTAGAGTGCTGGGAGGAGGAGCGGCTGGCCTTCCACCTCCAGCGATGGTGGCAAGGACCAGGTAGGAGGAGGAGGAAGAAGGGGACTAGAAGGAGAGTGCTGAGACGAGGAGCGCCTGGCCTTCCACCTCCAGCTATGGTTTTTGGCTTTGCATAAGTAGCCCTCACTGTTGTGCCCATCACGTCACTTTTCTCGGTTTTCCGTCTCCGTCCTTATTCTTCCCATCTCTATGCTGCAGAGTGTTTCTTGGGAATTGTGGAAACTCGTGTTGAGGAGGAACAAGTTCCCGCAGACGGGACCTTAGCTTTCTTGATACTAGGAACTTTAGGCTTCTAGCAATCACGCGGGGTATATGTGTGTAGCGTGGATGGATAAAGGAGAGGAGTAACGAAGAATTTCAGTAAGGCAAATAGAGGAGAGAGGTTGTGACAGGGGTTAACATAGTAGCAGGCTGTTTGGGGATCTTTTTCCTTTTTTTTCCCTTTTTTTTTTTTTTTTTTTTAACAAAACCATTCTCCGTACACTGGGGGGCGGGGAGGGGGAGATATGAGCATCCCCCTCTAGTAAGCCTGTCGCTGGTTGCTCCACTCTATTGGTGGAGAGCTGCACGTGCTGGAAACCGGGTCCATCGTCTCAGAAACACATCAATGATTTCCTGTCTTATTCCTGGGGCCATTACCTGGCTTCGCCTAAGAAAACACAATTATTCTGAGTTTTAGCAGATTTCCAGTAAAAAAAAAAAAAAAAAAAAAAAAAAAAAAGTTTCAGCCTCTTCAGCCCCAATGAGGGCCACCTGATGGACAGAGTTCTTGCGGGCTGCGATGGCGCTGCTTGAACGTTACATTGCTCGCTCCTGTGTACCTCCGTACCACTGCAACTCCACCAACGAAAGGCCAAGGAGAGGCTGTGGGGGGGGGGGGAGGCGTCAGGAAAATCTGAGGGCAGGCGCGGGGGGAACCGTTGTGTCCACCGATGTCCAGTGGTTTGGGAAAATCGTTTCAGCATTATAGGGAAAACTGATTAGTGAAATTGGGAGTTGTACAGTGAACTCGATTATTATATTCTGTGTTTTTTTGGTAAATTTTTGGGTGAAATAAAGTTGTTATTAAACTGAATTTCAAATAAATTGTCTGTGAACTTGCAGCTTTGTCACTGAGCTCGATAACTCATGTCTGTGGAAATTTGGAAAACGGATTTGCTTTCAGTGAAATCTACAATTCATTTCCTTGAAAAACGTTTTGACATGCATGAAGTAACTGATCCAAGGAGTATCGTTGAATTGCTCCTCCTCTTTTTTTTCTTTTTTTTTTTCCTAAAGCAAATGCAGGAAAAGGCACATTCCAAGGTCTACCTTTGTATTTGGCACGCGCG